TGGCAAATCCATGTCCATGTCCCATGTTTCATCTCCCAAGCACCCAGCTGCCCAGTGTCACTCTATCATTGTGTTGGAGTGAGACTAACTGCATAAGGTTGGTTTCAGAACTCATACTGAGCACACGTGTGGCCTAAGCCAGTGGTTTCAAAAGACTTTGGGAGGATGTCAATATCTGCAGTTCAGCTACAAACCACAGATTTGCCTGAAAAAGTTTATGTAGTTCCAGGCTCTGTGAATCTACTGTGGCTTTGCAGTAACAAACTTTCACTAATGTGATTAACTCAGCACTAGTAATGGTGCAGTTAAACTGACAGAGGAAAACAAATGCAATAGGAGCAACTTGAAGGACATGATTGAAGTCCCTCATGTTCTGATTAACTGGCTCCAGCACCTAAGTGTGCTACCAATTCCAGAGTACAGATAAATTATTCAAGTAGAAGGCAGTCCCTTCAATAAATTAGTCCACAAGCAACACAAAATATGCCTCAGGAAAAAGGTTTTCACTAGTCAGTTGCATTAAGTATATAGGAACATTCCTGCAGTTCATGCCAGACAACAAGTGTGTGTGGGAAATAAAATCATCTGTCATGCTAGGAAGTGTGCTGGATATGTAATCACTTTCATGCCAGCAAATAAAAAGCTCTACCTCAACTAAAACACTCATTTCACTGTGGCACAAATCTAACAACTTATCTATATCCTTTAGCTCATTGTTGTGTATTTTATAGGACTGTCACTCATCATCTCCTAGAATTTATCATGGTTTGTTTCTAATGGAAAGTAAGCTCAGCATTGAAAATACTGGGTGTTTAAAGTCTAAATTTTAGTCACGACTTTCAGTTCCATCAATGAGACAATGATGACATGGCAGACCAGTTCTACACTTACATTTGAGAACCTGTATCCTGCTTACATCAGAAAGTAAATTTCAGGGAACAACATGAAACGACAAAGCTCAATTCAGAAGATTTTGTGGTTTCTCCCCTTAACGTACGTACCTTCATTTTCAGTATTGGCTGGAACAGATTCAACTCCAAAGGGATGCCATGGCTGAAGGTCATCTAGGTTGAAAGCTCCATCCACTGGAAGAAGTTCAACTGTAGTCTTAGTTTCCGTCAATGAAGGCATGAGAGCATCATTTCCATAGCTGATTCTGGGTTCACTGATCATATTGGCCAAAACATCATCAGAGTAGTTTTGCTCTTTCTGAAGTAATTCATCTGCAAGGAAATTTCAACACAGAAATTATCTGAAAGTGACTGAGTTTCTGAGGACCTACTTTTAATGCTACTAAAGTAATAATTCACTGTCGTGAGATTCTGTTGTTTTATGATAAAGAATAACCTAAAGGCTTAGAATAGTCAAAACTCTGTGATAAGCACTGCAGCTAAGTAAGGCATCTTTTGGAATTGTTCACTACTGTTCACTGAGGTTGTTTGGAATTTTTCACTACAGACATATTTCCACCACATAACAGATCACAATACAAGTTCCTTGACTCTTCCCCACCACTTTTAAAAGAAGCACAAATCAATTCCCTTCAACTCAACATGTTGCCATAAGTCAACTGGCAAAAGGCCTACCGGAAGAAATGTCTTTGTTGGTTTCCCTTCCTCTTAAATGCTCACTGCCAAAGCTCATCACAGTTCTTATGTCCTAAATCACCACAGCAGTTACTGTATTAAATTGGGTTTACACACCCAATCTGAAGAAACATTTGATTTTTTAACATATATAACTTCACCGAAACACTGAAGTAGTTCTTTGTTAAAAAGTAGTAATAGACATCTGTAGGCAAATTACTTTAGAAGCAACCAGGAGCTAAAGCTGTGCAGTATTATGTATGTTGTGGTTTGGTTTTTGTTTGGTTTTTTTTCCCACTTGAAGCAAGGGTAAGAACAGTGAAAGCACTTTGCAGCTCCATCAGGTGTAGAGGACAGGCTATTCAACTCAGTTTTAAAAATAAGCTTGAAGGTTGTGTGTGCTTCATTATTTCAACTTCCTTCTCACATCAAAGTTCATCTACCCTCAGCACAGGAAAGACATAGACCTGTTGGAGTGAGTCCAGAGGTGGCTATGAAGATGTTCAGAGGGCTGGAGCATCCCTGGAAGCATTCAAGGCCAGGCTGAAAGGGGTCTGAGCAACATGATCTAGTTGAATATGTCCCTGTTTATTATTATATCAGACTAGATGACCTTTAACAGGTTCCTTCTACTCCTGATTTCCCCTTCACTGCCATTTGCTTTTGTAGGAGCAACATGCTATTTGCAGGTACTTTGAGGGAACCTGGTGCACAGGAGCACATTCAAGTAAGCAATTGCAATGAAGATGATAAACTGCTAATAAGGCACCGATGTAATAAGTAAGCAGATGCCACTGAGCTAAATAGTTTATGGGTTCTGAATCTTGTAAAATAATGTTTGAAAACAAAAATTCCTGTGTAAACAACAATTACTTGAGTAGACTTAATTCTATGATTTAATTTGTCCTTAGAATGACTTATGAGGACAGTACAGAAAGTCTACATCACATTGAATTATTTTTCTCTTCATGTTCATTTTATTGAAAACAGTATTATTTTACAAGATACTTATTAAATCTTCAGCATGGAAGGCAAGTCTGATTTTTGTCTCCCCACAGCACTTAAACTAATCCTTTATCAAATTCAAGCATCTCCCCATATCAGAGAAGAGACAGGTTAAACACCTTGATATTCTGAGCAGACACTATCACATGACAGATACTGATTTTCATTAGATAGGGATGAAGAGACTTTACAAAAAAGGAGCTGGATGTTAGTGGCCTGAGGGAGAAGTCTGGTGTCCATGGCCCTTGCACGGAGTCACAGATGATAGCAGCTGAGCACGTTGCAATACTATGTCATCACGGACCACAGGAGAGAGTGTTACAGTACTGTTGAGCATCTGAATGCTTGCAAGCCTTCTGAAACACAGAACTGGAAAGGTTCTGGGGTGCAGCTTCCCTCATTCCTGTGGCAGGGAGTGGAGCTGGGTGAGCTGTGCTGCAGTCACCCCTTTGCCCTGGGCAGTGCCAATCCTGCACAGCTGTCCATTCCCTGCTGCTGTGTCACCTGCAGACAGTTCCTGCCCTTGGAAAAGGACAAATAGTGCATGGATGTGAAGGAAAGACCTGAACTCCAGCAGTGGAGCAGCAGCACCAGGGCTGGCACAGCACCCAGGGGAGGTGACAGTGCAGGCACAGTTGTGTCTGCCAGGCTAACAGAGAGGGGAGCCCAGCTCCTATCATGATACTATGATTAGATCCAAAACCCTAGAAGCTGGGAGGGATGTGCACACAAATTGTCTCTCAATGCTACCCAAGTGGGAGTACCCTCTGGCCTGCACTTGCAGGCTCTGTTGTTTCCCACTCAGCTGCAGCGCACAGCACGGGCAGTAACTGACCTGCACAATAGCTCAATTGAGGCAGACAGATATTACAACCAGCAGATTATGATCACATCCATTTTACAAGTGGGGAAACAATGGCCAAAATGAATGAAACCCATCTGACAAGATGAATCAGACACTAAACCACAGTGAGAAACTGGAAGTGCCTGGCATAGAAACTGCACCAGAGTCCATCACACTGTGGCAGCTGTGCCTGCATTGATTTGCAGACAACTGCATCAAACTCTCAACTGCTAAGAAAAGTTTGCCTTAGGATTTCCAGTTATTGACACTAGCTGGCAAAGTCCAAGATCAATTTTCCAGTGTTGATTTTGTTCTGAGTATTGATGACTCCTCAAATCATCAGTTACGCTAATGGAAAGCCATACAGCCTTGCTGCTACCCATCGATACAGTACTCCCTCCCTTTCTCACAGCTGTCAACTCAATTCCCCCACACTGCAAAAAGCAATTCCCTACATAAGCAGGCAGTACAGACAGCTGGAGGCTAGGATGTGCATTCAAGGGGGTTTCTTTGTATTATAAATATCTTATTTTAGTTGCTGAAAATACATATTCTAAGGGTGCTCCTCAAAATTCATCTCCCATCACACCAACAGATAGAAACTCTATGACAATCTTCAGACACCCAAAATTCTCCTTCAGGCACTTTAACATTTTATTTCTCAGGATGAGAGACATGCTTACTTCTGGCGCTTTAATAAAACACTTCATGGACTTCTCATAATCTCTAACCAAGTATCACTCACTCTTGGGCTCACTGTAGGTGTTTCCTCATGGGCAGCTACTACTCAACAACAGCATCTAGAAAAACTGAAGTAAAATATTTTTGGGGAACTCGATAGAAGTGTAATACCACTACAACCACCTTCAAGACTATTCTCTTATCCACAAAGAAGTACACAGAACCAAAAGCAAAGAAAGAAACCTTACTACAGAATCTTCTGGTGGACGCTAGATCATCAGAAGCCATTTGCCCACAACGGCCCTAAGCCACACTTCTATTTGTATAGCTTTGCAAAGAGCACTGTGCTAGAGAAGATATCATGACAAATCCCAACAGAGTAATGGAGTCTTAGAGTGGCAAAAAGACATGTTATGTTGCAATCTTATCTACTTTTTATTGCAGCACAACATTATTTCTGATGTTGGACTCTAGGGTGTACTTCCCAGCCCTTAACTGGCAGAGCTATAATGACAGAAATGTCATGTGGAACAGCTTCTCTTGCTGCCCTGGAACATCAGCAATCCATTAGCTATCTTTCAAACCATAATTTTTATTCAGTTCATAGTTTATCATTTAAAATTTCCAAAAGTAATTATAGTATTCATTTGTTGTGTATTCAAGGAGCCTATCCAAGTAGATGAAAGACTCTGCAATCACTATTATGTGCAAGGCTTTGGAATTTACTTGAAAAGCAGCTTTAAAATTGGCAGTTGTAATTTTGGAAGTTCTGTAAAGCAATTTAAGGTCTTAAACTAGATTAGAAACAAAGTGCATCCAAACCACCTCTAATTAAAACTAATTAGGATGCCATCAAATTACATGCCATAGTCTTGACCCAACACCAAACTTCCTTTGTAAGGAACATGATAGAACATAGAGTGTCCAACAAAGATGGGCTTGGGAACCAGCTCAAATAACTTGGAACAAATGCAGAGTCTTATATTTATCATCTTATCAGTGACCATTCAGTTTGGACTGAACATGTGTTTCTCCCAAAGTTCGTTGCTTCTGAGTATGTGCTCTCAAAATAGCAAAAATAAGAAGTGTCAGTAACCTTCCTGTTCTTCTCAACAGCAGAAATTAGAGTGCTTGAGTCACAGTGATGGCTTCATTTGCACACACACACACACACAAGTCTGAAGACAGCTCAAATCCTGCACATCCTGTATGTTACAATTAGGATTCACTAAGAGCACTGACACAATCATTAATTACAGTGCATGTGGTAAGCAGTAACATGTTTAACTGCAGCTTTCAGTTGTACATCTGCTTTACAGGCTAATTCAATGTGTCATGTTATTTTCTAAAAGGAGTTACATTGATGTAATACAGTCAGGTTTTAACTAACTTTGAGTGTCTGCATTTTGTCAAGCTGTATGAATCAAAACTCCTCCAAGCTGGTAAATATGAAAACAAGACCTCCTGTGCCTCACTGCACAGTTAAGCTCCACTGAATTCGAAGCATATTGTCATTCTAAGACATTTTGCTGAATCAAGCATTGTAAGATCAAAATGTTACATACTGCTAGGTGATAATTATAACATCAAGCTGGAAAACACAATTATGTGGTATTCAGCATTGAACTAACTCATTTGTATAGTACTAGTCAAACATAATTTAGAGAGAGACTCTGATGAGAACTTTATTGAAAGTGACCTGCCTACTGGAGGGTGTAAGAGTGGCTTTGTTGCCTGCTTGCTTTGAAGATGATGACAGAAGAGCAATATGCTAGATCATTACTGTGAAATACTGGAAATGAGCCCAATGCTCAGATCCATACCGACACAGAAACATGACCACCCCGTCAGACTTCAGCTTTCTTCTCACCTCTTTTTTAGCCTGTGAAATTATGCCACAGGTCATTTTATCTGGAAACTTTTACAGTGCAAAATGCCTCCCCCTCAGGGTTAAAGGGAGACTGAAAGGGTAAGAGCCACGGAAAACAGCATTTCATAGTTCTTATTTTCTATCCTTTAGAGACATTGCCATATGGCAATGGCAAGTAGCAGCAGCAGTATTCTACATTTCAGAAATTTCTAACTGTATGAAAATCTTGTTCTATAA